CACACACACACACACACACACACACACACACACACACACACACACACACACACACACACACACAAACTAACAATGGTTATCAAGTGTTTCTATGCAAGGTTACTTTAATCTAGTAAACAAATGGTTGTGTGTAGGCTGTGTAGCCTCTTAGATTTATCAGTTCATGTTGGTGTTTGCGATAAGCACCTATTTTGTAAACAGATCCTCGTACGTAACACTAATGAAGGATAAAGTAGGACTGGGCATCTAATAGAAATGTAAATTCAATTTCGGCTTCCAGTGGTTATTATAATAGAATAAGATGGAATAAAATTAATGCTTTTATCCATTATTTTTGCTGCAAAAAATTGATACAAGCATTAATAATACTGCAAAGTGTTGTTTTTTTCTTCCGTTATGACTCGAGGGCGTTCTTTTCCTTTGTAAGAGTCTAGTTTTGAAAGCTCGGCTGTCCCATTCAGGTCTCTGTCGTTTATCTTGTGGCCACCGTGAAGTTTGCTGTTCACCAGCTCATCTCCCCGCACCTGCAGACATCCAGTGGTTGAATCTTCAGAACAGCAGTTGCCCTAACTCCCTACTGGATTTATGAATCTCTGTTAGATATTAACTAATCAAGATTACAACTTTAAATAACTAAGTGATTATGCCTTTTGTTGTAATCAAGCAGCCCTACTCTGAATATAATATCACTTTTTTTTTTTTTAATTTAAGCCCGTTTTTTACTTTACCACTTCTCTACAGCGATGTGCATCCCTAAGAACATTTTATATGAAATTTGAGTGCAGGCTCTCATTTACCACAATGTTGAGTATCCATTTAAAATGATGTAAAAGGACCCAAACAATGATAGGCACTCTGCAAAAGAAACCCAGTCGAGCAAACCTTTTTAGAAATACTCTTGAAGGTACAAGATCAACAGATACTTTGAATGCAGTCTTTTGTTATTGATTAACAAGAACATCTATCATGTTTTCAGGATTTTTTTTTTTAAATATCACCGTGATGAGTGTCAATAAAAAGCATGAGAGTAGTATAATAAAATACATAATAGCTGAAGCAAATAACATGCTTATAAATCACATTAGTGTGATCCAGAACAAAGAGAAAAATGGACTAAACTATCATAAGAAAGTATTTTTCTGATTGTCTTGGTTTTCTATGTGATCTTTAAAATGACGTTTTTTACTATCCACTTAGCACTTAGGTTTTAAGTGTCCTTCTTTGATATAAGTCAGAATAAAAACAACCTCTCAGCCTCACATTCCACCATAAAGCATGAATCTCATCCTCTCGTTGCCTTATCAGGAGTTGATATTTTCTGTATTCTTTCCCAGGTTCGGAGAGTGCATCACCCATGCATTCACTCGGGGGCTCTCGTTCCCAGACTCCTTCTCCTGCCACTTTGACAGCAGAGCACACTGAGCACACGCATTCCCACTCCCACACCCATTTACAGCTGGACCAGAAACTCCACAACTCTGTCTTACAGACCCCCGATGACCTGGGTAATACTCAGAGGCATTCACTTTGAGATGCTTTTTCCTGTTCATACAAAGTGTAGTACTTTAATCATGTTTGTGAATATGAAATACTTTGTAGGATGACTCAGTCATGTTCTCATTGACTCATTAATTCCAGAAACGAGTGAGTTCCCCAGTGAGGACTGTAGCGTGATGGCGGGCGGCTCTCTGACCGGATGGCACGCAGATGTTGCCACAGTAATGTGGCGAAGGATGCTGGGTATCCTGGGAGATGTGAACAGCATCAAGGACCCAGAAATCCACGCTCAGGTCTTTGACTACCTGTGTGAACTTTGGCAAAACCTGGCCAAGGTGAGAATTGAGACATACAGTGAACCCGCAACTCCTGTGTCAGTGAACATGTTCTCCAATGACGAGCTTTTCTGTTTGCAGATCAGGGATAATTTGGGCATTTCTCTGGATAACCAGTCGTCTCCTCCACCCCCTGTTCTGATCCCACCCCTGAGAATCCTCACCCCTTGGCTCTTTAAGGTATGCGTGATAGAGAGGTAACAATAAGGGTTATAACATAACATGTGTTTCAGTGTTAGTTAAGCAATCTTTTCTCTTTAGGCCACCATGCTGACAGAGCGTTACAAGCAGGGGAAACTTCACGCCTACAAGCTGATTTGTAGGATCATGAAGAGACGGCAAGACGTTTCACCAAACACAGACTATCTGACACACTTCTATAACATCATGCATCAAGGACTTCTCCACCAAGACCAGGTAGAGTGGTCTCAAATTTATACTTGAACATAATATATGAACAAACAGCATATTTTATATTTTACAGATTTCTTTAATCTTGCAGCTGTTAATAAAACATTTTTTAATGTTAAATACTCAAATCCAGCTCTTTAAGCACAGAGTAAGTGCAGGAAAGCAGGGAAATGGGGAGAAAAGATAGTCATGCAGGCAAACATGCTGTGCTGCTGTGAATGCACCTTTTGAAGCTAAACGTTTTAAAAAAACTGTATTACTTTTACAGGACATTGTGAACACCATCATCAAGCACTGTAGTCCCAGGTTCTTTAGTATCGGTCTACCTGGAGCCACCATGCTGATCCTGGATTTCATCATCGCAGCTTCTAGAGTCACTGCCTGCTCATCACTCAATGTAAGAAATCCTCCCATTTGCAATGTTGGTTTCCAGCTTTACAGGAGCTGATTCTTTCATTCCTGTCCTCCTAACAAGTTTTATTTTCCAAAGGCTCCAAGAGTTGAAGCACAGATTCTTCTCGGATCTCTGGTGTGCTTTCCCAACTTTTACGGGGAGCTTCCTGCTCTCCACCCCACCACAGCTGACGTGGTACTTACCAAGTTCCCTGATGTCAAGGTACGCGAATGCCGATCATCATCTTCCACCTTACCTTATCCCTAGTATCCTCCCCTGTCACAACAACTCTCTGCATGTCCTCCTTCACTACATCCATGAATTTTCTCTTAAGTCTTTTTCTTTTCCTCCTGCCTGGGAGCTCCATATTCAACTTCCTTTGTTCAGTAAATCCACTATCCCTCCTGTGCACATGTCCAAACTATCAACCTTAACCTTATCTCCAGCCTGAGCTGTCCTTCTAATGTATGTAAATGTAGTTTATGGAATATTTTCAGTAGCAGTGTATTTAGGTGGCTGAAATTATTCTTCACTAGAGGCTCCCCTTGTTTGGATAATAGGGAATTATAGCCATCCTAGCAGTTACAAATGCACAGAAAATTCTTCTTTTTTAATCTTGCAGCATCCTTTCTGCAAATGATATGCAGCGCAGCCTGGTTCAGTGTATTCACGGTGGATAAACTGTTCATCATACCTCATATGCACTTCTCTGGGAGAGTATTACAATACACCGCAATAAAATATTGAGAAAATAACTTTTTTTTTTTTTTTTTTAAGAAATTACTTTAATCTTCCTGTAAGTTTGGGGAAAAGCAGGACAATACAGTTAAACTGACAGGTCTGAAAATGTGTTAGTTTTTTTTTTTTCCAACTCACACATCAAAAGCTCAAAAAGTTTATCTACATTGTTTGTAATCCAGGTCAGTTCAAACATCGACTGTCCATAGGGGATCTCGAAAGCAAACTAATAGGCTAATGTCTCATCAACCATTCTTGTTTGAGCTAAGGGCGATGGGAGTGATGTTGTTATTGTTGTTGGTGCCATGTAAACTGCTAATGTCATGCGTGGCAGCGCCTCAGGCTCACTCACTGCTTTCTTATGTGGCAGAAGCTTGTTTTGAATCACTAAGCGGTCATTAACACTGACCAGAGGGACAAGACCAGGGAGTGTGTGAACGTGTCTGGGGTGTGTGTTGACCTGTTTAAACTGTGACTATGTGTCCATATTTAGTCCAGCATATCTGTCTACGATATGCATTAACACCACAAGGTGTAGTTCCTTGAATCTGTTTCCTGTTTGTCTGACTGGGAACTATTAAGCTTGTCCTCATTTTCTGACATATAAATAGTGTTGAAATGATGGATGCTCATATCAAACATTGCCAAATAATGAGGTTAGCTTAAAGGGAGGGGGAAATGAACTAAAATGGCTTGTTTCAGATACTGGACAAACTCAAGGACTACATCGAGGCCTTGTGTAAGATGGAGAAGGATTATTTTGAACAGTGAATCATGCAAAGCTACTCTAATAGGTCCATTTTAAGGATGCAGTCTGTTTATTATTTATTATACACACCTTTAAGGGCTACTCAATTATGGCAAAAATCATAATCCCAATTATTATCATCATCAGTATTTCGATCTGAGTTCTGTAACATGACTTTTTATATTAATGCCTATAATAACAATACTAGTGGTCAGCTGATATATTGCTATTGAAAACTCATGTGCTGTATGTTTTTGTTTTTTTGTTGTTTTCTTTTTTTAAGGAGCATATCGTCAAAACCATCCTGACCTCTGCCAGGGATGAACCCTCTGCTCCTGCTAGGTAAAGGGTTTATAAAGTTTATTTATTTATTTTATTTATTTATTTATTTTTTTACAGTGTTGCGCAGGTGCCCCAGGTTACCTAAAGTTATCATTTGTTAATAAATTCCTTAAGTATGTAACCACATCTGTTTGTGCTCACCGTTGGCGAGTATTTCTTTATTTTATGCTGGTTCCTGTGTGTAAAATTAATATATGCAGTGATTCCGATAAACTGCATTTATACAGGGAGTGCAGAATTATTAGGCAAATGAGTATTTTGCCCACATCATCCTCTTCATGCATGTTGTCTTACTCCAAGCTGTATAGGCTCGAAAGCCTACTACCAATTAAGCATATTAGGTGATGT